GGTGCGGGGGTGCGGGGTGGCCTTTTGGGAAACTCCCTCCCTTGCGTTACTCCGTGAGGTGAGGCTGAAGTCTGACCAGCTCGTGGGGGAGATTTAAGACAGGCTTCCTACCACAATGGCTTCTGCCCCGTGCAAAGTGCTTCACAAGGTGGAAAAAGACTTTTCTCTGCATTAGAGCCTGCTGCCAGGGCTGTAAAAACCATCTGCAAGGAGTGTTTACGGTGCCGCTAAGACTCGAGGCGATGCAATCTCGTGGCACACGACAGCACATGCCTCGGGCAGGGAGAGCGATGCTCGTCTCCCGCCTCGCTGACCTGAGATAGGAGCAACGAAGGAGCGAGAGCTCACCTCCCTCGGGGCAGTCCTGCGGGTCTGCTCCTCTCCCCTGCCCTTCTCCCCTGGAAAGAGATCAGGCTGCAAAAATGAGGAAGCAAAAAAAAAAATAGAGCCAGGGAGTGTTACATGCTGGAGAGAAGCTCGCAGCAGGGTGCCGACAGCGGGTTTTGTGAAAAGTTTGACTCTCCTCAGAGGGTGCCTAAAGGGAAGGGTCGGCGGGGTGAGCTGGCACACTCAGGAGTGTAACGGCCCCTCGCCCCCACACTCGCACGCCCCCAGGCCAAACCCTGCCATGACACCTTCCTCCAGGTGAGGATCTGCCCTTGCACACACTAATTACCCCCCCCCAGAGAACGTGGGCTCGTTTTGGTAGAGCCCACACAGGGTTTTCTGCTCTTACAGTCACCTGTGTGCAGCCTAGAGAGCCTGCCCGGTCCAAACCTCTGGTTCCTCACGGGATGATGGCAGTGCCCGTCTGCTCACCCCTGCCCGGGGAGGAGAGAACAAGGGGAGCGTCGGTGTGGGGAACAATCCTGCTGGGCTGGTCCCCATCAGTCTCTGTCGCAAAGGCCAAAAGCGTCACAGGACGCAGCAAGAATAAAAAATAATCTTCAGACAGGTTGTTTCCGGACACGTCCTTTCATCAAATGTCACCCCTTCCTGCCAGGGAACGGCACGGTGGCCGGGAAGGTCCCTCCTCCGGCTTCAGGGGAAGATCTGCAGTTCAAACTTGGGTGCCCACTCCAGCGCGCTCTTCACCACGGCCAAGGCAGCTGCTCCCAGCGCGACCGTCAGCCCCATCACCGCCAGCTTGACAAAGCGGTTGGTCCTGGGCTTTGTCAAGATGGATTTTGTCCGCTCCTCCCCTCGGAGCCGCTCCCTGAAGCGCTGCCTCAACACAGTGTCTGGTCTTTGCTGCACTGACGCCAACTCAAAGTCCTTAAAAGTGGAAGCCGCAGTTCTGCAAGAGAAGAAATGGGTCAAGGAGTGTCCCCAGATCACCTTCGGGATCAGCCTCCTGCCAGGGGAGAGGACCTCCACGAGGGAGGAAGGCCTCCACGAGCTCCACGAGGGAGGAAGGCCTCCACGAGGGAGGAAGGCCTCCACGAGGGAGGAAGGCCTCCACGAGGGAGGAAGGCCTCCACGAGGGAGGAAGGCCTGGCAAGGGGATGCGGAGAACACACGGGCTGCCCGGGACTCACCGTTCGGCCTGCTGCTGAGCCGCCTCCTTGGCGAGTTCGGATGGTGGAAACTGGACAAAAAGGTCCCCAGCTTTGCTGATCAGAGTCTCGTAAGGAAGGTCCTGTGGGATCTGGGATAAGAGGTGGTGGACAGAGGCCATGTCGCACTCGCAATCCAGAACTTCCTGCCCCCGGTACAGCACGATCTGCGGAGAGGAGCGAGAGCACTGAGGACGGCCAGGAAAGCGGGTACGACTCCTTGCTGCTCACTGGCACTCACTTCAGAGCCAGAAGAGACATTTTGCTTCCAGCTGAAAGCCCTGCCCTTCCGCGAGGGGATGCACCACAGTGAAACACCCTCTGTCTGGGAAAAGAAATGCCAAACCCTTCCCAAGACTCTGAGGCTCCGGAAAACCCCTTCCTGGGTAGTTACATCTGTCTTCTGAGCTACTGACAGGTCAGAGACACGGGCAGAACCTCAGCAGGGCTTGACTCTGTGCCTTGCCCTCAAACTGAGGTTTGTTTGGGCCTCCCAGAGGAGAAACGGCAGCTGGACACAGAGCACAGGGCTGCCCCAGCCAGGCTCCCAGGCAAGTGCCCAGCAGTGGGGCCAGCACGGCAAGGCAGAGGAAAACACCAGGTCATGCTGCCTCCATGGCGCTGAACTGCAGCGGCGTGAAGATCTGGACACCCCCAGGCTGCCGACAGCACCCCCAGATCCCACCCACCCTCTGCCTTCGCCAAGGTGCCCTGCAGAGCAGGGTGCAGCTGGGGACAGCGCTGGGTTTGCAGCCCCAAACTACCAGCACTTTGCCACGGTTTGGTTAATCCCCCTCCCACTCCAGCCAGTACCTACCACAGCAGCAAAATAAATGGGCATCAGCGGATGGCAAGCCAGGAAGAAGTCATATAATCGCACGACGTGTCTGAAGTCGGACAAAACGTGCCCGAACCAGGTGATCAGCCAGCTGAGAGCAAAGATGGTCCCCACCTCCGCGCTGCGGAGAGAGAAGGTGCTGTTAGATCAGCCCAGCAGCTCGGAAACAGCACTGAGAGGCTCCTGGGCGAGCCCTGTGCTGCACCTCCGTGCTGGGAAGGGGAGACTGTCCCGGCTGTTGGCCAGAGCTCAGCCCACATCCACGTTCTGCACCTCCGATACAACCCTGAGGCAAAGCACTACTCGTCTCCCATCCAGCAGGGTCGGCAGTGAAGCTCCGAGATCTGCTTCCAGGAGAAGCTGAACGTGTGAGGTGCCACGCCACTGTCTGGCACGCTGAGCTGAGGACACCTGAAGTCCTGCAGCACAGTCAGCTCTTCAGATTCCTCTCCATCCTAAAGGTTTACTAACTTCTGGGAGCTTCTAATCCAGCTTGGTACCCAAAGACCTCCTGGCCATGAAACGTAACAGAGACACTTGCCCAGAAAAGGACTCTGCACTGAACCTTCCCACCTTCCTTCCCGCTTTATCCTGCCCGGACTACACCTGCGTGTCCCTGTTGCACAAACTGGGAATTATCCCCAGAGCCAGCAACAAACTAGAGCAAAACAACAGCAGCCACAAAACCGGGCAGGTCAAACAGTTGTGGCAGCTTTGTGCGACGCCGTCTGCAACCCCCCAGCCTTTCCAAGACAGACTGCAGACCTCTGCACCCCGCCAAACCCCCCAAGGCAGGCAGCACGGGTCTGGGTCCGCTGGGCAGCAGAGTGCCACAGGGCTTTGGGCTGGCACCGTTAACTCTGTGGAAGCCACTGTGGCGCTGGAGCCAAGAGACTGGCAGGGGAGAGCTCCGAGGCCCTGAGGGAACGTCTGCGTACCTCTGCATGAAGTCATGCACGTCAGGGTTCATCTGGTTTATGATGGGCATCAGGTAATTTAAAATGTGCTTGGTATTATCCATCGTTGGGTCCATAAAATCCCTGAGGAAAGATTTAAAAGAAGCTCTTGTCAAGCAACCGCGTCAGTGAGCTCTCCCTCCAGAGAGGCAGCCAGCAGGGATATAAATGTCCTGGCAACAAGCAGCTTTGCTGGCAGGGTGGCCCCCAGCCCCAAGGAATTCTGTCTGTTTGGGCCGCCCCCCCTTCCTACCTATGTGGGACACGCAGGGCTGATCTGCACAGAAAATCCAGACCCAGACGATCACGCTGGTGTCAGCTGACACTTCTCATTTGGTTGCAGCACATGTGTGAACCGTAAAGACTTTCCAGAACCCAAAACCTATCTCTCTGCCTGGGAGGGGAGGGAGAATCTCTGCAAATCACTCCCAGCTGAAGGCTTGTTCTCATTCCGGTCACAAACCTTTGCCGTGGGGGCTCAGGACAGAGGCGGTGCAGACCACACTGCCCAAGGCAAGCGGGAGGCACGGTGCTGAGCCCCAGGAGGGGCCCCAACAGCAGGGCGGGCCCGAGAACTATGAATAATGCACGTGTGTTGGCTTGTTGGACTTTGAGAGACGCTACAGATCAACTGACAGCCTTCAGTTACCCCTCCCCAGAGCACAACTCCAAGCCATGTGCTATCGTGTGGTCACGCTGCTCCCTCACAGCACCCCTCTGGGTACAGCCTTAACCCCAGGCTCTGCCTTCCCGGCCAGCCCCGCCTGCACACGCGTCCCCACGGCTCGAGGACACGCAGGTGGCTCCTCTCCGCCGCTGGGTACCTGAGATGATGCGTCGAGAGCTTCTCCACCAGAGCCGTGGCCAGTCTGTCCCCCACCACGAGGAGGAAGGTGACCACGATGTCATGGTAGCCCTGGTAGTAGTGGAGCTGGGGGTTGCGCTTGAGGACGTGGAGGATAATATCGATGAGCTCCTCCTGCAACCCTTCCCTCTGGTCATCTGGCATCCCTGTGGGGACAGCACCAGGCAGCGGTGGGATGGGCTGTGTCACCTCCCTGTGCCCCCTCCCGGTGCCTGCAGTACACAGGGAGAGGACCTGTGCCTCCACCAACCCGCCTGATCCCAAGGGATGTGGTGCAAAGAGGGGGGAGGCAAAACGAGCAGGAAAAAAAAAAAAATCTCAAGTCCTAATCTTGCTCCTCGCTCCCCAAACCCTGATGGCCCAGGAGAAGCCGCCCAGTCGTTAGGTTGTTCAATCTCCGGAGCTGCAGTGCCCCTGCCCGCGAGGGAGGCGCGGTGGAGGACGGCAGCAGGGTTTGCTGACACGTGTACAGCGCTGCAGAGAGCCAACTGCACCTCACAGCCAGCACTGCTGAGGCCACTGTAATCATTTTTAATTTCCCAGAGGTTCCAGGAAAAAATGAAACAGGACCCACTTTCACAGAAACTGTGCCAACCGCATCACGTTGTGAGGCCTCTGCCGCCACAACTTTCTATCGGTCCCCCGCTAACAACATGTGTTTAGGGACAGGATGTCGCAGGAAAAACGTTGTCCCTGCCCTGCATAGCTGCAACCAGTTTCTGGCAGTCCTTGTCAACAGATAAAAACGCCCAAAGGCCAAGCAGAAAGTCCCAGCGGAGATCCTGCAATGACAAAGTTCTCCTTTTCCCCTGCTTCGCTAATGCGTCTAAAAATAGGCAGGAGGCTGCCATTCAAGGGCAAAAAAAAAAAAAAAAAAAAAAAAAAAAATCTGTACTAGCAGACCCTTCAGGAATCAGGCTTGCACACAGGATCTGCGCTCGAATCAGAGCAAAACAACTGTTTATGCAAAATAAAAGCAGCAGAAGTGGGAAGGAGATTCTGGCCAGAAATAACGACTGCTCTGCAGAGTTAAGATAGCTGCTGGATTAAATGGTTTATAAATAGCACCACAAGGCACCACCCACCCAACTACTGCAAAACCATCCTGCTCCTAAAGGTTCAGAGTTCTCTTCAGTTTGGTGCATGACCCTGAATTACAGCAGAAATCGTTCTAACCACTGACAAACCTGCCTGCCCTGCCCCTGAGCTAGACCACCGTCGGAAATAAACTGAAGCCGACGGCACGTTTCTGAAGCACCGTCTGCCCTGACCTCAGCCTGTTCTCAACAGAGGAGGGATGCGGGATCCGGGCCGCTCTGCGCCGCAGCCCTGCCCCGGTGCCGGCCTGCTGGCAGCTCAGCGGGGCGGGGGGAAAGCATAACCTTGGGGAAAACACCTCAAAAACCAGCACAGGCAGCTGAAGGAAACCGACAGCTGCAGAACGGCTCCACTGCGTGAAGAAGCTGCTGTAAGCTCAGAAGGAGAAGGCTTCCCAGAAGTCAGGTGCTAGGAGAAACGGAGCGTCACCCGCTGCAACCCCCCGCCCCAAGTCAGGTGTGAGCCAGGAGGAGCCTCACGGCACAGACCTTCCTCCCGCAGGGTGGGAAGAGGAGGATCCCCCCCTCACCTGGGGGGAAGCGGCGCAGGGATCGCCGCACGTCCAGTAGCACTTGCTGGTAATCTTTATTGTCCTCTCGCAGCTCCTTTCCTGCTGAGAAGAGGAGGAATATGATTAACGCTGAGCAGTCGTGGGGGTTTAACCCCAGCCAGCAACTAAACACCAGGCAGCTGCTGGCTCACTGCTCCCCTCACCCAGTGGGATGGGGAGGAGAAGCAAAAAAAGGTAAAATTCGAGGGTTAAGAACAGTTTAATAACTAATATATAATAATAACAAGAATAAAAAATAATAATTGTAATGAAGAGGACTAAAATAAAAAAGAGAGAGAGAAATAAACCCCAAGAAAAGCCAAGTGATGCACAATGCCATTGCTCGCCACCCGCCCGAGCAGCAATCGCCCCCAGCCAGCTCCCCCCGGTTTCCATACTGGGCGTGACGCCCTACGGAGTGGAATAGCCCTTTGGCTAGCTGGGGTCAGCTCTCCTGGCCATGCTCCCTCCCAGCTTCTGGTGTGTCTCCTCGCTGGCAGAGCAGGAGAAACTGAAAAACCCTTCACTTAAAATGACACTGCTTAGCAACAACTAAAACATCGGCGTGTTCCCGTTATTCTCCCGCTATATCCAAAGCGCAGCACTGGACCGGCTACTGGGGAGAAAATTAACTCTGCCCCAGGCAAAACCAGGACAGGAGTGCAAAGGTACCGGGAAAAGAGCTGGGCGAGGGAGCCGGGAGAAACCCTGCTGGAGGCAGGAGGATGAGGCTGCACACAGACACCCCACCCCGTGTGTCCTCTTTTTCGTTCGTCGCACACCAGCCCTGTCCCCTCTCTTGCACCGCTGCTCCTTCCAACACTAACGGCCCTGGAGGATGAGACTCGAATTTCTTTAACCAACATACGTTAAAATGTTTAAACTGACACCACTCCCAGCATTCCTGGAAACACCTCTGCTCCACAGTTGTGCAATTCAAAGCGTATTCAGCAGCAGCAAGCCGTGATACGTGGTGGAGACCACAAAGAATAGTTTATCAAATGGAAATAATTCAGAAGAAAACCCCACTCATGCTTAGCTAAGATAGTTAAAACAGAAAAGAATTTGCTGGCACGCTAAATGAATGCTGGCACGCTAACATGAAGTTAAACGTTGTCTTCCAGCAGCTCTGGTCACCTGAAGCAATCCAGCTCTTGACCGAGGTGAGGGGAGGCACGCTTTGAACAGCCACAGATTCAGGGACAACAAAATCCGTCCTGGGGACAGGGACTGTAACAGCTACAGGACTTGGAGCTTCGCACGGCTAAGGTTTAAAAACCATGCAGGTACCTCACCAGGAAGGTTGTTTTCCCCGCTTCTGCTCTGGCCAACCACCACACGCCCTTCGCGCAACAAACTGCTTCACCTGTGCCTGGAAGAGGCACCTCAGACGTGCTTCGGCCAGGCCAGGGCTCGGCACAGCCACCGCTCCACGGCAGCAACAAAAATTGAGTCTGATGCTCTCTGCTGCAGAGGGACTTACACACAACTGCTCGAGGCCACACCAACCGCACCCAACGCGATTCCCGTCGCTGACACTGAAGGTAACAACACCCTCACAGCACAATGGAAATGCTGTTTTCAGGAAGCCGCCTTGTTTCCAAATCTGCCACTTCCATACAATGCAGAGCGCAAAGCTACGAGGCCCCTTCGCACACGAGCTCGGTGGGAAGCCCCCGTCAGAGAGCCCGCGCCTCACCCTCCGCCACCCCCCCCCAGCGCATGCAGAGCCCGCCGGGCTGCTCTGCAAAGCACCCGAGCCCCGGCCGTCCCGTACCTGGGAGAGGGGGCAGGTCGTCTGTATTAACACTCAGCAGCTTCGGCCACACTTTGCAACGAATCTCATCCGTGAGGAGCCCCCCCTCGCTGATCGCCATCCGCCGGAGCGTAGCCACGTCGATGGGGTCGCTGTTCAGAGCCTGATTAATTTCTGCCACTTTTCTTTTCTTCTTTGAATCAAAATCTGTAAGAAGACCACAAAGAGGCATGCTGATGGGCAACGCCAGCATGCGGGGAGCAGCAGATCAGGGCTGGGGGGGGCACACAAAACCCACTCACACAATGTCACTCAACAAGAGGGACAGTCAGCAAGGCTTAGCCAGGCTAAGGGTGGGGACCCGGAAGCTGTCCCCATCGCCACCGGCTCAGCATCGGGGGCACCCCCACTGCACCCCGATCAACCCCACCCCGGGCGGGACCACTGCGGCTGCTGCCACCCGGAGCTGGCTGCCGCCTCGGGTGTCAAGTGCTTCCTCAGGCCAGGCCTTCGTGTTCCGACTGACTCCCAGCCGGGCAGCGGCTCCGGGGTGGAGCCGTCCTCGGGAGAAGCCTGAGCACTTCCACTGACAGCAACAGTCGTAAGAAAGGACATAATGACACCAGTTAACAAATCACCAGCATACTGCCTTCTCGCCCAAGAAACACAAACTTGTCAGCTACTAGTAACGCACAGCTCAGCCCGTGTGGAACAAATACCACTGTTTTGTGGGGCACATCAACACGGGGGCAGGGAGGGAGGGGAAGAACACACAAAGCACCCAGTGCTCTGGTTTCAGACAGGTTAAACACACTTAAAGGACACGGGAGGAGCTGAGCAGGGACACTATTTCACACCGAATCGTGGTATTTGTCACCGCTGCCTCGCTGAGGAGGGAGAGAGGAGACCGGGACCACCGGATTTCCCACACCCCAGAGGAACTTCCACTCAGGAGACTTTGCTGAGCAGACGTGGGGCTGGAGCACAAGATGAGGCCACAAACGCTGCCTTTATCTAAAGGCTGTGCCAACAGAACCAGCTTGGGATTCATTCGATAAGGGACGTGTCCGGATAGGATTTGGGGTGGGAGGAACTGAAAGGATCCCGATGGTGAAACAGCTGTTTCTCAAGGCCCCAGCCTCCCGGCAGCGACGCGGGGCGCTCGTTCCTCAGCCCACGTGGCACCTCCGGTGTCTCGGTGCTGCCTCAGCCCTCTCCCCGCTCCCGGGTGCCTGGCTGGAGGCGCCGCTTTCCGCGGCATCAGAACGGGAGACGGCGGAGAGCAGGCTGCTCAGACACCCGGCCGCTAAGTAGGTCAAGCAGGGAATGCCTTCCCGTCTCAAACTACACTTTTTTTGGATGAAAACAAGCTGTAACGGCCTACAAGAGATCTCCAAGTCCTCTCCAAACACCAATTTCCTGATAATATTAAAGCTTTTAACGCTCACCCAGTGACCACAATTTGTTTTTACTTCCCTTCCAGCCCCTTGTGCAAGCAAAGTTATTTGCACACGAGCAGAAATCAGCTGGCCGTTCCCTACACACACACACACACACGGGGCTGCCACATACCGAAGCCTCGGGAAGGAGGAGACAAAGCCTGTGAAGGAGGAGACAAAGGAGAAACTCCTGTTCAACACACAATGAACTTAAGGAGCAGTAGGAAGGAAGGAGCACATACCGTGGGCTCCTCTTTCTGAGATCTACTGGCAAATACCTCGATATTACACTGTTCAAATGTACAGCGGGCAACAGCTGCAAGCATTACTAAAAAATTGTATTTCAGAAGCTTTTTTGTGCATCCACAAAACCTTAACTCGCAGCGCCACTTACACTTTGAAGGAGACAGAAACACAGGCTCAGCGCGGGGGCTTATCGCACCGTAACTCAAACCGGACCGTCACGTAAGGTCCACCTGACCCACAAGTGGATTTTATTGACTTTTGCGGCTAAAACCAGCACCTGGAAGAGTTCCCGCTGACGAGCTCCCCAGCACGGCACCCGCGGGCCCAGGAGCGGTGACCGCCCGCACCGGAGCGCGGTTCCGGAGGGGGAAGCGGCCCTGCGGTCCCGAGGGCTGGCAGAACACGCCGGCCACGGCACTTACACAACCCTTCGCAAGGCCGGGCCAGCCCCGGCGCTGCTGCAGAGCCGCCCCCCCCGCGATGGGCGGCCTGGAAAAGCGAACCCGGAGAGCTCAGGGCCCGGCCTCGAGT